AACGAGTCAAAAGATCCAACAAGTCCAGAGGTCCAACAAGTCAAGGACTCTTGAGTCCAGAGATCCAACAAGTTAAGAGGTCCGACAAATCAAAAGATCCAACATAGTCAAGAGATCTACGGGTCAAGAAGTCCAGCGAGTCAAGAGATCCAAAGAGTCAAGAGGTTCGAGGCAAGAGATCCAACAAGTTCAGAGGCCCAACAAGTCAAGGGATCTAATGAGTCAAGATATTTAACGAGTCAAGAGATCCAACGAGTCAAGAGGTCCAACGAATCAAGTGATCCAACACATAAATGTCCAACAAGTAAAAATATATAGAGTATAAGGGATACAGTAAGTAGAGACTCCAACGAGTCCCAAGATCCAACGAGCCCAGAGATCCAATGAGGGAAGACAACGAGTGCGTGTTGGATGTCCAGCATCGGAAAGGACGCCTTGCCGCTCTCACCCTGCCAGTAGCTACAGCAAGAAAGCATTTTAGGCTTTGCAAGGAACACAGTGGCCCACAGGATCGCGCGCGTGCTCACTTCAATATTTATACAAAAACGCAAAAAGTAAAAAAAAAAAAAAAAAAAAAAAAGAGGCAGGACGAGTTGACTGGTTTATTTTAATGTTTACTTGCAAGCCGCACCGGAAGCAAATAATTCCTTTATTTTCCTGGCCGAGGTCAGTCCTTCGGGAAAATTGTGAAAGGGCACGCGTGTTGCGGAAATGGCCCGGGTAGGCGGCTCACGAGCACGACCCTTGGGCCTTCACGCTCGCGATTACAATGGCCGCGCCGTCCAGTCGATCAGCGTTCATTCGTTGATCGACTGGACTGAGCTTCGGTTGGCGCCAGTCGGCGCATCGCACCAGTCGCTGCCCCCTGGAACACGTCACGTGATGATAACTTTATTTGTTTCAAAATGCCGGCCTTAGTCCAAGGTATATGGTGCCTCAATCTCCTTTTGTTTAGGGTAATGCCATTCTTCGTAGCTACAACTACTTCAAACTCACATTTGAACATTATGCCACTCGAAAAACGGTACCAACTTGTCACTGTAACAAAATATTATTATTCTAATAGCGCTTTCTATACACTTTTATAGAATGCATATTTCTCAGTCTGTTTTAGAGGCACACTGAGAAATATGCACTACCAAGAATACATAGATATTATGCGGGAAGGGAATGCGAAGTTACTATATATATATATATATATACACCCATAGAGTTATTAGAATAAACGCTAGAGGCTCAGGTGGCGCTAGTGTGCTGTTGCAATTCGAAGCAGAACAAGCAGTCTAAATTTGACTTCCGGTAATGCATTCCTATGGGAAAACGGAAATGCGTTTTCTCTTCGCGCACGATTATGAGAGCGAATATTGCTTAGTGTTGTGACAGTATAAAAAGTTTGGAACGTTTTACAATCGGATGTACAAAAGTATGCGCCAGATAGAACGTTTTTCTTTAGAACTGATGGCGTCGAACGGCTGCGCTAAAATAACCCAATTCACAGGTATAATACATGTTGACGTTGCAGACTGCTATTATAGGGCACGCATTTACGCATATAGTCAATGCTATGAAGCACACAGAGTGAATCAGCTTGACAAAACACCAAAAGGATGCTAATATATATACCAAATCCAACAATCAAAACAGACGACAGAAACGAAGCATGGAGTTATCGAACGAATAACGCGTACTGGATTAGCAACAAACTGTGCATGAATAATTATTGATAGCTTGTATTGATAGCTTGTACTCATTGATTGATAGCTTGTATTGACATTTGATAGCTTGTATTGACATTTGATAGCTTGTATTGACATTTGATAGCTTGTATTGACATTTGATAGCTTGTATTGACATATCATGCTGTACAACATAGATCCGGGACTCGATCGTAGCTAATTTAAGCGTCGCTCACTAACAAAAAGAAAAAAAAAAAAAAAAAGAAAAAGCTCATTAACTAAATAATATACACCTTTATAATGTGAATAAAGCTACGTAGTGCCCGTTACGAGTAAAGAAACTACGCTGATTCCTATTATTCTCTGGCCAAAAGAAAAATATCACGTACGTTTTCCAATAGGAATACACAGGAAGCTTGGAAAAGTAGACCGTTTACTGTCTGCTTCAATTAGCAACCGGAAGTCCCGTAGACACTAGCGCCAGCTGAACCTCTAGCGTTTATTGTAATAACTCTATGTATATACCTTACCAAACTTTCGGAAGATTTAACAAGGCTTACGTCACTAAGCGAGGTGAAAAAAAATGAGTAAGAGAAAGCAGTGAGTCATATATAAATGCTGTTTTGCTGATTTTGTTATTATTGTATCTTAAACACTGACAAAATATGTGCAGATCAATGTGTAGTGTGTATACTGGAATATCCGTTTCTTATGTAATAAAATGTTATCACGTGATTAACAAAGATTGCTAGGTGGCTCTAAAATTCAAACACAGATTTTTTTTTTTTTCTGTGCGGAGTATTGTTATTTTGTGTTTTGCCGCAAGATGTGGTGTCAATAATCTACGCACACACACACATACCAAAAGATGAGAAAAACAATAAAGAGCACCAAACCGACTTCTGGGCTCCGTTCCAGAATTCCCTGTGGCTTTGACGGGCCCGATACAATTTATCGTAGAAAATAAACTAATAAAAACATTCTTCGGACTTCGGACCCGATGTCGCCAGCCCGCTATCGCAGGAACCATACAAATAAATGGCCGGTAACAAGTGCTGCTGTAGCACAGTCAATGAATGCTAAGAGCTCGTGACGGTAAAGCTGTGACGGCTCTGTTGCGCGCTCCTGAACAAAACATAAAAAAAAAAAAAAAGAAGCCTTCGAAACAAAATGGTCAGGTGTCATTGCCTTTCCTGCCTGCTAGCCGGACACAAACATATACTAGCATACAGGCGACCAACCTCTTAAATTGATTGTCTGATAAAGAAAAAAAAATATTGACACTGAACACTGCAAGACGTAAAACACCGGGAAAAGATAGTACAATCATGTACGCTACAAAGATGCATTGGAGGCGGAGGTAACGAACACATAGGCGTAGACTTCGGAGGGGCATCGGGGCTCCTGCCCCCCCGGGCCCGGGCCATGATCCTTACCGAGACGCTGTTTACGTGCGTTATAACGAGCTTCTAGTAGTGGCATGTAAACAAAATAACGCCCACGTTGCCTTTATTGACAAAATACATGGGAACTGGAATCCCAGCGTGCTTTCATCTGCTAAGTGCACAAAAGAAGGGCTCTCCTTTACCTCGTAAAATACAATGCTAGCAAGGTGCAGCATCTCAGCGCCTCTCACACCTGTGCGAGAGGCATAAAAGACAAGTGAATGCGACCACCCACCAGACAGCCGGAGTCTGGAACGCTCCCGATCTGCGCGTATTTCCTATTTTTTCTTTTTGTTTTTACGCATTGTTTACTCATTACGGGCCTGAAATAACTCGGACAATGTTATAAGCGTTCATTTCTCATAGTGCGTAGATTTCATCCCGCAAATACCTCTCAACACTTTCAATCTAGTTATAGACCAACGCGCCGTTCACAAGAGGGAGAGAGAGAGAGAGCGAGAGAGACGGAGAGAGAGATTAAACATTATTTTACAGCTCAATTTCGAGTTGTATTAATCTTCCCCAGGTGTGGGCAGTGCGCGTGAGCAGTGGCGTGGCGCTGTTTAAAGCAGTTCCCGCCAGCGCGACTGAATGCTCGTTTCGGGAAAACACTAGTGCACTAGAGTAGAGAACTGGGTACCATAACTAAAGTAACGTCTTCGTAGTCGCTTCTAGCGTGGATGCAAAAAAAAAAAAAAAAAAAGAAGCAAAAAGATTGCAGATACTGTCGTTGTTATCCCGCCGTCGTCTGCCGCTGAGACTAGGAAGGAGTCGTCTGCAACCTATGCTGCAACAAACTCAGCCGTGCAGGAAAAGAAAAAGAAAGAAGAGCTAAGAAGGACATCGATCCCCGATCCCCCTCGGGCGCTGTAAATCGCAGTCGGACTGTAATCCTGCTCGATGGTCACCAGGGCCAAAGAGGATCAGCCTCGCGATAGCCGTTGGTTGCAGACGCGCAGCAGAAGGAAGACCTCGAGCCCGAACAGCGGCGCTGGCTGCGCTTGCTTACTGCCTCTCGTTTTTACTTCCTTCGTCTCTTTTTTCTGGAGCGGCAAGAAAAGAGACGTCTTCGGTGCGCGGACGAACGAGGCGAGAATTATGGAAAGCGCGCCGGTCCGCGTCAATTAGTCTCCATTATGCCGGCGGCGCAGCGCAATTAGTGCGCGCCCAGCGCCACCACAATGTATCACCGCCTAAGTGGGTTTACAAGGCTCGCCGAGCGGCCCGGGAGTTTATTTAAATTAACCCCGCGCGCCGGCGGCGAAGGAGGAAGGGGGGCATAAATACATCTCGCTGCCGGCGATGGCAGCAGCAGCGTGCGTGCGGCCGCCGATACAGCTTGGCGCAAGCAGGCACTACTTTAGTCGCTGTTTATATTGGAGACCAGCGCCGAGCCGAGGGCGTGTTTGGCCGCTTCTTTCTTTTTTTTTTCTCTCCGAAGACGAGCAAGTCCGAAGAGGGGCCGGAAATCTTGCAGGGGAAAACTGCTCGGGCCGGTTATCTCTCCTCTCGCGGTTGTATTTACAGATCACGGTGCCGCGGAGGGGAGTGGGGAGGGCGAAGAAAAACACAGCTCCCTCGCTGCGCCGCCGCTCCCGCAGAGAAGCCCGTGCGAAAAGTCAGGCGCGCTTGACGGGCCGCTGTCAGCGCGCCACGGGCGCCTCCGATTGGTCGGCGCGGCCAAGGGCCGGCGCCCCACGTGCGGGCTGGAACGGGGCCGCCCCTTTCGGCGGGTCGCCGCCGCCAGGGGAGAAAGTGGCGCTGCCGACCGGTCATGTTTGTTGATAAGGGCAATCATAGTGTGAGCCATATTTGGTGTTCCGATTTGCCGGTGGTCGTCGGGTTGAGCCCCGCCGGGAGGGTGTCACAGCCCCCCTCCGCCTCCTCTCCCCCTCTCTCTCTATTCTCTCTCGCTAGCGACAGCGCCGCGCGGCGGACCGCCGAGAAAACACACTCGCCTTGTCGTCGGCGCGCCGCCATTGCTGGCGTCTCGTGCGCGTTTTTGGGGCTTTGGTGGCGGTGGCCGGATTCTCGCGTCTCGTTTCGGCGGCCAGCGGCGGATACCGACAGCAGCAGCAAGCAGCAGCAGCGGCGGCGAGTGCGTGATCGAGTGTGCGGCGGCGCCATGGCCGGCGCCTGAGCGGGTGTCGTGAAACGAGGCCTCGCGGCGTGTGCACAGCAGCAGCGTCGTCGGCTACGAGCGGGCGGCGCCCCCCGTCGGCCGTCTCCGGCGCGGCAGCATCGATCCGCAATGTTCCCCAATAGGCATCCGGTGAGTGCCCGCAAATTGCTCTTCTTAGCGGCGCTCATTAAAAACGCCCTCGGCCCGGCGAGCGAGCGGGAGCCCGCCGCCGCAGCGGGCCGCGGGACCGCTTGCCGCAGAGGACCCCCCCTCCTCCTTCGTCGCCGCCGATGCGCTTTGGCGTCGCTGCCGCCGCCTATCTGCTTTTTCTCGGGTTCTCGCCACCCCCGACGGCTTTTCGGCGGCGGGCCCTGTTCTGGCTGGCTCATGGGACCGCACTAGCCATTGGAGACCGTCGGCCCGATTGGCGCATACCCGTCGTTCGGGAAAAATCGACCTGGTTGATCGCGCGCGCCGATTGTCAGCGGTCGCCCCGTTCAATGCGCGTCGGTCCTTCTCCCTGTCGACAACCAACGTTTGCAGACTTCGGCTTTCGCGCCCGGTGTCCGTCGAGCGGATCAAAACGCGTCGCTCGCTTACCGTGCGCGGTGCGATCAGATGAGTTTACCGCTCGCACTGTCCTAGCGCTTGGCTCTCCCTCCGTTCCGGGATTTTCCAGGGGTGTGTTTGCGTTTCTGTTTTCGTGCTGCGTCTTTGTTTTTTTCGTGCTTGTGCAGCGAGTGCATGTCGGCGGGCGCCTGCCGATGGAAGCGGAACATTAGTCGCGCCCCGGTGGCTCGCGCCGCTTGACCGCGCATTTCTCTGTTTGCGCACTCCTCACTCCCCACTCCCTTCCTCTTGGGTTTGTGGGGCGCGCTGCCGCCACCGTGGGGCGTGACCGTCGCCTACCAGCGGAAAAGGCTGCGTTGTCGTGCGCCGCCTCCGCGTGGCGCCATCTGTTGGCGGCGGGCGTGATTAATGGTCCAGAGAGGGAGAGGAGATCCTTGGTAACAGTTCAGGGATTTGTGGGGATGTAACGGTTTTCACGCTGGCGAGCAACGAACGTTTAATTGTTTTTGCAGACGTTTGTTGCAGATTGTTAACGAGAGTTTCCTTTTCGTGTTGTTCGGTATTGGCTACATGCCAATAAACGAATGAATGATAACTTGTACTATCTGCCCCTCGCAGTGTTCACATTACAAAAAATAAAGGAGCTTAGTTTATAGGGATAACTTGCAGGTGAACCCGCTGGACACCTTTGGACGTAGCCCACATCGTATGGCGTAAATTAGAACAAAATGATAACAGTCGACATCGTTTATAGCCTACTTCGATCCAACTGATCACGATAGGCATATTTCACAAGGGTGCCATCTGGTAGCCGCTGCCCCAATTATTCGAGTCCGCCATTGTTTTGGGCACGCTTCCTTATCTTGGATACGGTAATGCGGTTTTTGGAGGCTGGACAACGTGTACCACGTGACCATCATAATCCTCATCGTCTTGGTTTGTTCGACTTTTAATTTTGGTCCACTATTTTCCGAAACTTGGCAGTTTAATTGCGTGATCCGCATAATTATCAGCAACACATTGATTTTCCTGTTCTAGTTTAGGAAATTGTGTATGGTGACCTTGTCTTCAAAATTTGGAAGAAAACACTTTTTTGTTTTGTTTTGTTTGGTTTCGTTTAGATAGCGAGATCGTGAGCAAAATCATCATACTTTTTTTGTTGTTGTTGATGTTGGCTATCAGCCGAAGGATAGAGGCCTGTAAGCACCTGCAAGTTTGTAAGTACCTGCCTGTACCGTGTAGTGGGTAGGTTCGACTGGCCTCCTCTTGGAGCCCGCTGCCTTCACTGAAGCGCGGACGCTCGACTTCCTCCTCGTGACTGAAGTGAGCGATGACACCAGCGAACCGGCCAGGGCTTTTCCATCTGAATTGCCCGCGGAAGGTCACCTTGGCACGCTGTCTGACACGCTTGGACCTTTCCCTGAACCTTCGAGACTCGGGCAACGGTGCTCGTGATGTTCAAAAGACCGCGTCGCCCTCCCCTTGTACATATCCCGTAATCACTAGTCGCCTGTCCACGGGCCTCCAGAGCCGTTTCCTTTCTGCATTGCCGCGGCTCTGCTGAGCTAAATAGAGGTTATTAACGATTATTACGGAGAGGATCCACTTTATTGCGCTTCCAACGGAGGTATTACGTATTACGTACCTTAAAGTGCAAACTGTAGCATAGTAGCACGGAGTGAGAGCTTGTTTTGCGGCGGGACATTGTTCAAAATCTTGCTGTTGATAATATACAGGCGTATGTTCATGTAACCACTAATGCGCGATGAATCTTTTAAGGTTTTAGTCCCTAGATCACGAGATGAGGTCTATTTGCGTTAAACTGCTGTCACAAAGACAAAAAAAAAAAAAAAAAAAAGAAACAGCAACGCGACAATGGGTTAGGTGATTAAACTACCGAGTGTCGGAAAATAGTGTTGTTTTACTCCACCATGTCGCGCTACAGCACCCAAAAGAAAACAAACAAAACCGATGATGATATGATGGTCACGCGGTACAGCCTCCAAAATGTGCCTCCCTTGGACAGAGACCGCCCCGTCAGCGTTCAACACGGACACGGGTCCAATTCAAGTTCCTAGATAAGAGCTTCCTACAAGGAGCGACATTCTCTGACGCGCCGACTGCGCGACGGTGCAGGTTTTAGGATATGCGAATGGCGGCGCACAGCAGAAGACTGAACTGAATGACGCCATTTTGTTGCGGCGGAATGTGCTTTGTCATTTGTATTGGTTGTCATTACTTAGGAAAATAAATATCGAGGGTCAATTTACAGCCAATCACACACTTCGTGTCTGAGAAATGGCGGCAGCCAATGTTGATTAACGGTTTTTTTTAAAGAGGCCTCTTAAAGGCGAAGTTCGCAGTAAATAGTGATCAATATTACATGACACGACCCTTCCTGTACTAGTCTTCCGAAATCACGAAGCCTGGTGCTGTTGCTCCAGAACAAGGCTCTCAAAGTTTGTGCCAGTTTTTCGGTGTTTATTATTTCGAATATCTCGGGCAGCACCAATTAGTCTTCTGGTGTCATCTAAAGATAACGGAGTTCCCTCTGTGCGCGCATCTTAATTTTAGCGCCGGAACCAGCTAGCGCTTGGCGACACTTTTGTGTTGCTTTTTATAATTTTTTTTTTATTCGGTCTTATTTTGCGTTGGCACCGCGCAGGCTCGGGCCGCCACGCCAGGCCGTCTGGAGAACCCAAGTTCGCGGGTTTGGTCAGAGTCCAAATGCAACGAATGCCTTGGAAACCGTTGCCGAGACCTCGGTTTCAAAGCACGGGTTAGGAAGACACGTGGAGGTAGCTAAGGTTGATGCCTAAAAAGAAAAATGGGACTGACTATCGGGGCAAGTTCCCACGATTCGAGGATCGCATTAGGGAGTTTTAGGGAACCGTTTTTGCACTGCCGATATGGTAGGATCGGCCCTCCGTACGAAACTGCGTTTCGGTCTTCTGGACGGAAAGAACAGTTCAATCACCCTCAGACAGGTGTAATCACGCTGAAGACACGTGCTGCCTAGGCCCGTTGCTGCGAAGAGCCATCAGGGAACGTCGCATTTGGAAGTTTTCGAAGTTCCTCCGCATCGTTTCGATAACTCCGATAACGATACCTGATGGCGGTACGATCCACACGCAAAGATGTCAGCGGTGTATCGGTACGACATACTAAAACTTCCTCTTTACCGGAAAATGAATTACTTTAGAAAGCGAGATCAATAAAGACATCCGTCGACCTTTAAATTGCATTACATGTCACGTTCTTTTAATCAAATTCCCGCGCCAGGTCATGTGGCTGTGATGTCATGACCCCAGCGAGGGGGGCACTCAGTTGGTCGAACGACGTTTTAGCGAACGCCGACTTTTCATCGTTTACGGGTGGGCCAAGTGGGTTAACATTTTTGTAATAAGCCGCCGCAGACTGTCGCCGCGAAAGCGGCATAAGCGCAGCGCGGGGGGGGGGGGGGGGGGGGGGGGGGGGGGGTTATTGCGCGCTCCCGTTATTCGCTAAATGTCGATTTGCTCAAATAGCGCTCTTCGCTAAAACGTCATTCGCTCATGTGATAAGGACGCAAACGACCAATCAGAATTTTTGCGTCACGCCTCCGACGCCGGCTTTTTTGCCACGCCACCGCCGAGGCCGGCTTTTCTGCGACTCGAGCACCTTAACGCTGTCGCATTAAAATGTGACTTAAAGAAACGCCACACACACACAAAACAACATCCCAGATGCTCGCGCGACACAAGCGATAATCATTATTGTCGTCGGGGGCTTCTCGAGCCGCCGCCATCGCCTTCTCCTCCTTCCTGCCCACTGCATCGAACGATTTCTCACTCCTCTCGGGGCGGGCGGAGTCGCCCGCTTCTGGCCGATCCTCGTTTCCATTTCGTCGCAGCGAGTGTATGATCCCTCGTCGGTAAGCTCTCTCTCACCCGCCTCCCACCACCCCGAACCAGATCGAATGAGCCCACGTCCGTCCATCCGGCCGAGTTTCGTCTGCGCGGGGAAGCCGGATTCAAAGGGGTCCCTCAAATTGGAGTTATCGGATTTCGACGTCCTTCCTCTACTCCACCGACGCCGGAGAGAGGTCTTCAATGGAGAACGGGGGGTCGGTCGGTGGTAATCCCCCCTGTGCCCTAAAAAGGGGGGGGGGGGGGGGGTTCTCTCCTCGAGGAGGGTGCGCAGATAACCAGTTTTGAGGCGAGCCATTCGTCGCGGTTCCAGGCTGGGATTTGTGCTTTGTTGCGTGTCGACCCTCCGAGGGGATAGTAGTGTTGAACAGCTGGGTAGCTTCCCATTTGGGGCTTCGTTGGTTGTCAGGGGGGCGGGCGCGGGAAAGGGGGGTTGCTGGCGGGAGCCGATGAGAGGGGGCAGGGGGTAACCACCGGTTTCCGTGGGTACGAGCGTGTGTGTGTGTGGCTCATCGGGGAGTCTTTTATCTTTGATTGTATTGCCTCTAGGGGGCATTTTTGGGGGGTTGGCTTTGGCGCCGTACCTGATTTCGGGGTGTGTAACTGCGGGTAGTTACACCGGTATCCAGGGGAACCCGGGGTGGGCTGCCGAAAGCAGGAGGGGGGAGGTTT